TGACGACCCAAAGGACATCGGGACCACGTCATACTCAACATCACAAGCCAAATCCTCAATCAACGCACACCTCGAGTCCACGACATCACATGATGGCTCGGAATCCTCCTCAACAACATCCACCACAACATCAACTAACTCATCCTCCTCCTCTTCAAAATCATCCTCCCTAGTACTATTAACATCGCTCGGCACAACCAAATCCTCAAATGAACTCTCTCCCATGCCATACACCATATCAACTCCCGAATCCATACACTCATTCTCAACAATAGAATCAAAGCTCAAAGCACTATCACCGAAAGAGAGAATTGACATACCTAGTGTGGATTGCACGGCCGGATCGTCAAAAGAGGGAATTTCCTTAACACACAAATCGTCGATGTCCTCACTCGTGTCGAGAGGTTGCGTACCGTCATAAACGAGAGTGAGGCCCATCTTTTTCAAGGAGGCAAACCTATCCACCATAGCTCGAAATTCTCCCTCTAACCGAGTACTCTCCCGAATAATCCTCGCCGATAGAGAACAATACTTACCGAGCGAAATGTGAGAGGCATCCAAATCAAGAAAAGAGACAACGGTAGAGTCGAACTTCGTGAGTGTGATTTGTAGAACGGATGGAATGGGAATGCTTTTCCAACTATGAAACTCCTCAATGATCGTCATGAGGCTCGCAAGTGCCTCTCGAGTGCTCGTCAAAACCTCTCGGTGACGTTCGGTAGGCTCAACCATTGTTGGAACTGAAGCTTCGGAACTCAATGTAAAAGGTTGGCCAACCGATAAGTGCTCGTGTGATGGAGAGGGTAGAGCAATGGACTCGGTTTCTTCTTTTTCGGATATGGGAGCCATTGAAGAGCGAAGAGATTGATTGCACTTCTCCAAATGCTCCATAATCTCGTCTAAACGGCTTGGAGAAGCTTCCCGAGTCGGCTCGGGTGGAAGTGTGGCATCACAATAATTGAAAGGCGGTGGATAGTAGTGAGGTGTCTCGTCGTGACCTGGAGAGTAAGAATCAAAATCAACTTGAGATGGTGGGTAAACATGGCTCGGATACGGATAGGGCAGCCCTCCATACGGGTACATCTCCTCTTGGTAGTTGTCGGGGCATCCACGAGACAAGCTACCGGCATAAGCATAGCCGTATGGATCCATTGGAGCTCGTCTAGCGAAGTACCTCGCACAAGAAAAGCAAAACAACCAAGGCACACGAGAACAAGAAACGAAAAACACAAAAATAAAACTAAAACGACACAATATGTACAAGAACACACATAACAAAAAGCAAGAGAAATAGAAAATAAGCAAATAATCAAGAGAAACACGCAAAATCAAGAAAAATCCACAAAAAGCAAGAGAAACACGGAAACAAACGACAACTAGATAGCAAACTTGGCGTCCTACTCGCCTCCCCGGCAACGGCGCCATTTTGTTTGTAGTTTTTTTTTGGGCATGTGGTAACCGAGCTACCCGACTCGGGTCGTTCTCAAAGGAAGGCTGTTCGGAGCTTCGTTTACTACCTAGTCGTCAAAGTCACACAACCAAAAAGGTCCTAAACATTCTACTCGCAATTTGTGGTTTGAATTTAAGCTAAATTAATCTACGAAATGAGAGCAATTGAAAACAATTAACTAAGCACGCAAGAACATGAGAGAAATCAAGGGGGAAAGAGGGATTTTGGTTCACCGGAGTCTCTATGATCAAACACACACAAATAACCGAACATTGCCATGCTAGCTAAAAGCCTAGGAAACTAAATCAAACTCTAGAACAAAACGAGCAAGCATTTAACTCCTAATCACACTTAGTCAAGCATTCTCGATCCAAAGATTCAATCTTTTCCTCCAAGCAATACAAGCACAATATCAATTTTCACAAAAGCAAAAAAAAGATATACGAAGTAATGGGGCTTAAGACTAAGTACCCACTCTTACACGCACTTGCAAAGAGAAACGGAGTCAAAAGCTCGAAACTTTACTCGAAACAATGTCGCCGGAAATTCGCCGGAAAACTTGATTCATAAGCTCTCAACCAAAACATAAAAAAAAAAAAGAAAAGAGGAGAGAGAAGAGAGAAAATAGAGAGGATTTCCCAACTTAAAAGTTGGGAAATGAGGGTTGTTCCCCCAAAAATACAAAGCACAATGTCTTCTTATAGCTACACCTCAAACACACACTAAAAACACGCACATTTACTAAGCTACTCTCGAGGTCGCGGGCAGTTTCGCGAGTCGTGGGCACGGATGGCACGAGTGGCACGAGGAAGGCACGGTGCGGCGCGAGGAGAAGGAGTACTCTCGACCTCGCGGGTGAACTCGCGGGCGCGGACGCATGTTGGGCAAGACACTCGCGACCTCGCCATGAAACTCGCGCGCGCGGGGCACGCTGGGAAGGGAACTCGCGAGCTCGCAGGCAGATTCGCGCGCGCGGAGGGGATAAACTCGCGGCCTGGTGCGCTCTTGGACGAACTCGCGGGCAAAGAGGCATTTCGCGGGCTCGGAATGTTTGAACTCGCGGGCAAGCAACATGTAACGAAAACTCGCGACGCAGCTGGATTTCGAGGGCGTGAAGGCGGAAACTCGCGGGCACTGGGCGACTCGCGGGCTAAGGGCATTTCGCGGGCTCGAATCCTAGAATTCGCGGGCACTGGGCTCCTTAGGCTCAATTAACCCTAACTTCTCGCACACTTATCGGATTGACTTGAAATTTCGACCCACGCTTCCCAAATCTTTTTCTCCTCGTCTTGGAATGTTCAAATCGATATCGCCGCGCAATTAATATATATGCTCGGAAATGGTTCGCGTGGCTCGAACATGGTTCAGACGGCTCGGAAATGTCTCGGAAATGGCTCCTCTTCCCGAACTCGAATAATGTGGACCTAAACAACACCAAAAAGACAAGAAAATACACCGAACCACAAAATCTACAAAACGAAAGCAAAAATGCACGAAACACGATAAAATGGACCGGTCAATACTAAAACGGACCTAAAATCACTCAACTAAAACACATAAAACACACGAAAATAAGCACAAAAACACAATAAACACACCACCGACAAGAAATACGGGAAACCGGGGAAAACGAACAAAAAGACCAAAAACGACTAAAACAAAGGATAAGTACGAGACGACTCGAAACGGACCAAAAACCAAAGAAAAATACCTAAGTAGGGGAAAAACAAGCATGAAATAAACAAAGAAAACATGACAAAAGTGGAACAAACAACTCCCCCACACTAAAACCTTTGTTCGTCCCGAACAAAAGAAAAGAAAAAGAAAGAAAATCAAACAAACGAGCAAGGACAACGGTTCAAGCAAGACCAATCTCAAATCAATCAGTTAAGTCAAGAAGAATTCAAATGATCACAAGCACACACTTCAACAATTAACTCGGCCATATTGAGGAACAAAGACTCTCGAGTATGCAAATGTATATACCTCACTCAGTTTCCTTCGCAAAATATAAGATAGGTGCACTCAAATTTGGTCATCAGTCACGTTAATCATAAATTTGCCTATCGTCTAACCTTTACTCTAAAACAATCAAATAAATGAGACCGCGAATCACGAGGACTTGTAGGGATGTAACGTAGGCTCTTTGGACAGGGTAGGATAAATATAGGCTAAGTGGCTCACTATGTACAATCTAATCCATCACTTCACCATGACAATAACTCATCCGGTTGTTACCAACCGGTTTCTTCCACAACTCCAAGAACACGTACTTCCCAAACAACACACATTTTTTTTTCTTTTTTTTCTTCTTTTTTTTTTTGCGAAAACCTATTGGACATTATTATCTAGGTTTAACCTTCGGGTTTTCTGCCCGAGTCTCCTAGACCGGTTTCCCGTACTCATAGCTCATATCCACTACATTAGTGGACGGAGCTCTTGGAGTAGAATCCATTCGGTTTTCCCTCTTTTGTTTTCTTTTTTTTTTTCAAATATGAATATTTACACAGCAATCAGCCGTCACCTCCAACTCCCAACCCGCAACTCAATATCTTCATCACGAGGTTAACAAGAAAATTCAATTAAGGCTCAAAGGGGATGACTAGTGATTATTATTCTCGACAAAGAAAAAGGAAAAGAGAGTACAAGAAATGCCTCAATCATATTCACGTCACATCAATCTAATCCAATTATTTCAAAGCAGTCTCAAGGCAAATTCTAATTAACAAGATTCAGACCAATATCACACAAGAAACAATAAGGCTCAAACCTCACAAGGTAAATATGTTCCTCAACACAACGAAGCCAATCAATTAAAGATATATTACTCGTGCTCATCATCACATCTTCTCAATTAAACCAACGATTATCAAAAAGCTTTGCAATACACCAATGTCCAGACTTTGAAAACACACAGAAACCTAAAAACTAGACTGGTCCACCACATAATCACGTAAAACTCCCCCACACTTAAAACCAGACAATGTCCCCATTGTCAAGTCGCGGTGAAGGAGAGTTAGACCATACAACAGATCAACGCAAAACAGAAACAAAGAAGCTGTACACAAATAAAAAGAGAAAGGGAAAAAGAGAATATACAAAGCACAGTGACAAGTCACTGTGCATCCGGAGGTGATGGTGGCTGGTGAGGGTGATTGGGACCCGAACCCCAACGGGCGTCCCACTGAGTGAAGCGCTGGTCCCAGCTGTCCATCCGAGCGTCCTGCTGGTCCTGCCGCTCGCGGATTGACTGGAGGCCGCCAGCGAAAGTGTCGAACTGGGTACCCATCTGAGTCCAGTGGGTCTGCTGCCGGGTCTCCCACTGGTCCCATCGAGTGTTCTGCTGTGCCTCCCAGCTGGTCCACTGCGTGGTCTGTCGGCTCTCGAGGGCAGCCCATCTGCTGTCCTGGGCGTCAAAGCGATCGTGGATCGAGCGGATGTCGGCGGTGTACTGAGTCTGAAAAGTGAACCACCATGCCGGTGGCTGCTGCGGGGGCATCTCCGGGTGAGAGCTTGGCGCCGGCGTCCAGTCGGGTGGAGGTGGAAGTAAATGGTCCTCGTCGATATTCATCTGCTCATGCGCGTCCTCCGTCGGTTGCCGAGACGACCCTGCCGGATCGGAATCAGGCTGACCCTGCTGGAGCTTTTTGAAATAGGTGTCGTAGGCGGTGCGCTTTGTGTACGCCTTAGCCGTAGTCCGATTCTAAATAAGGTCGGCCTGCTTGAGCTCGTTGTAGTTGAGAATTCGCATCTCAGACCGCTCCTGAAGCGCTATCTCACCATGAAGTCGGTAGGCTTCTGGGGTGATGTCGAAATGGTTCGCGAGTGCGGTAACGAAGTGCCCCAGTGCCAGTAGTCCGCGTCGAGTGAGGGCAATCTCCTGTAAGGAGTTCTGTAGGAAAGTCATCGAGCACACCCGCACGCCCGCTCGCATCGCCCAGAGGAGAAAAAGTTCGACCTCACTGACTTTATTCGCCTCCTTCTTGCCGGTAACATTGTAGCAGATGAATCGATGCACAACAGCTGTGGCCAGGTCCACGATAAGCCCATTGGACATGTCGGCAGAATCCCAGGTCGTATGAGGGGAGAGTTCGGCCCAACACTTCTTGGCGTCGAAATCGAGGGCCTTGCTTCGTGTACCGAAGAAAGTGAAACCGCACACGTCCTTCATCACCGCATTATCCACCACGAGGTCTTTCCCCTTAAGCCGACAAGTGAAGTACTCGTTCCCATCGGCGAGAACGAATGTGCTAAAGAACTCAAGCATGAGGGTACGATGTGAGCGCTCCTCTATTTTGGCGTAGTCGGTGAGGTTCAAAACCTTGAGGTACTTCATCACGTCGTCCAGAATACCTAAATCGTTCAGGAGGTCCCAGTCCACCGCCTTCGGTCTCACGACCTCCTTTTGCGAGAGTCGGGCATAAATCTCGCCTTCCTTCCGAGAATAAATCGGGAATGGAGCCCGGTATTGGTCCGAAAGATCATCGCGGTCCTCGACCGGAGGGGCATCTCGAGAGGAAGACTCGCCCGCTTGACGTTTCCTAGGCGGTTCTTGAGGGGTTTTCTTCTTGGTGGGACGAAACGGATTCTTGCCCATTGGAACGGTCGTTCGGGCAACTTGTCAAACACGTGGCGTGCGGTATTTTGAAGTAAAGGCTTGTGAACAATTTGAAACGGCTCGATCTCGGAGTTGGCCTCCTCACGCCCCAACAATAACCAAACTCAAAGTACAGTAAGCTATCGGTACCTTATCGTGAGAAATCCGGTGCGAAACGAGGAAATTGACGAGTGAAGTCACGTGGGTCGGTCGAGGCCGGATGAATGCCGGAATTTTTCGCAGCGGGAGGTCGTGGTCGGAGGACGTAGCCGTGAGTAGGTCGTCGGAGAGCGCAAGATGTCGGAGAATCGTCGGGATTGATGGGGAATTTGCGACTAGGGTTTGGAGATCGGGGCCGCGCGTGGACGGTAAGGGTGGAATGGTGAACGCGCCGCCGGAAATCACGGGAAGCTTGAAGAACGTCGCCGGAGCAGGGTAATCGGCGGTGGTCGTCGGTTGGGAGGAGGAGAGGTGCGGTGGAGGCTTCGCTTTTGTCGATCGAAATTGGGAAAGGGAAATGATGATGTTCAATAAGCGGAAGAAGGGATTTAAAACGATCCATCGCGGGGGCCGCGGCCGCGACCTCATCCCACGGCCGCGAGATATAAGTCGCAGATATTGGGGCTTGGCAAAGTTACCTCTCCGCGGCCGCGGCGAAGAAACGTCTCGCGGCCGCGACCCGACGCCGCGGTCGCGAGTTTCTTCACGGCCGCGAGATTTTGGACGCTGAACTTCGAGCCTTTGACAACAAAAACGTCTCCGCGGCCGCGGCGAAGAAACGACTCGCGGCCGCGACCCGACTCCGCGGTCGCGAGAAAATTCCGAGGCCGCGAAAAAGTCCCTGCAGAAAATGGCATCGAGACCGAGATAATGGTCGCCGCGGCCGCGGTGAAGGAAATCCCGCGGCCCGCGGCGATATATAATTTTTCTTTTCTTTTTATATATATATATAAACAAAATGAATACACCGCAGTACAAGGATACTCGATTTAATGCCGGGAGCGCGGCATAATGGCTTGATCACGCATATATAGGGTCGCCGAGACTGACGGTCTCGACATGTCGCTTCCCGAACTCGCCATCAACATATGGCTTCACTCTCTGCCTGTTAACCAAGAATACATCGTTTTTTGCTGGATTACGCAAACGGACGGCCCCAAATGACAACACTTCATCGACGATATACGGTCCACTCCAACGTGATTTGAGCTTCCCAGGAAAAAGACGAAGGCGAGAATTGAAGAGGAGTACCTTCATTCCGGGCTCGAGGTTCTTCCGAACAAGAGTGGCATCATGGAGCCTTTTTGTCTTCTCCTTGTAGATTTTGGAATTCTCATAGGCTTCATTTCGCCACTCTTCTAGCTCCGAGAGTTGCAATAGCCGCTCCTTTCCGGCTGCATCAAGGTCGAAGTTCATCTTTTTAATTGCCCAGAACGCCTTGTGCTCAATCTCAACCGGAAGGTGGCACGCCTTTCCATAGACTAAGCGAAATGGACTCATACCCAAAACTCCCTTGTACGCTGTCCTTTGGGCCCATAGTGCATCATCGAGTCTACTCGACCAATCTTTCCTGGACGAGTTTACCGTCTTCTCAAGAATGGTCTTGATTTGCTTGTTGCTCGTCTCTGCTTGGCCCGAAGTTTGCGGATGGTATGGGGTGGCCACTCTGTGTGAAATCCCGTATTTCTTCATTAGTTTCTTGAAAACCCGGTTGCAAAAGTGTTTGCCTCCATCGCTCACAATAACACGTGGGAATCCGAACCTGCTCAACACATGTCCCTGCAAAAACTTGATGACCACTTTAGCATCACATGTCCTCGTGGGGATAGCCTCAACCCACTTAGACACGTAATCTACGGCGAGAAGAATATACTCAAAACCACAAGATTTGGGAAACGGGCCCATAAAATCAATGCCCCATACATCAAAGATTTCAACTTGAAGATTATTAACTAAAGGCATTTCATTTCTTGGACCAATATTCCCAATTCGTTGACAACGGTCACAAGATTTGCAAAAAATATAAGCATCTTTAAAAAGGGTTGGCCAGAATAAACCTGATTGGAGGACCTTAAGGGCCGTCTTTCGACCTCCAAAATGTCCCCCACACTGAAGCTCGTGGCAAAAAGCAAGGACATCCGGTTGTTCTTCTTCGGGCACACACCTCCAAAGGATCTCGTCTTTTCCCATCTTGAAAAGGAATGGGTCATCCCAAAAGTAACTCCTACACATCAACACAAAGCGTTTCCTCTCTTGGGAAGAGAGGTTAGACAAAAAAACACCATCTGACAAATAATTAACGATATCCGCATACCAAGGAACACTAGAAACTTCACTCACATGCTCGTACGGAAAACTATCATCAATATTATTATCAAGCAAATGAGGTGAAATATCAGACGGGATGATACGAGACAAATGGTCGGCTACCACATTTTCCGACCCTTTCCTATCACGAATTTCCACATCGAACTCTTGCAAAAGTAAAATCCACCGAATGAGCCGTGGTTTGGATTGAGTCTTGCTCAAAAGATATCTCAAAGCAGCATGATCAGAATGAATAATCACTTTAGACCCTAAGATATAAGACCTAAATTTTTCAAGAGAAAACACAACAGCTAAAAGTTCTTTCTCAGTGGTAGTATAATTCAATTGGGCACCATTGAGAGTCAAACTAGCATAATAAATCACACGAAGCAATTTATCAACCCGTTGACCCAAAACGGCCCCCACAGCAAGGTTCGATGCATCACACATAATCTCAAATGGTAAAGACCAATCAGGTGCAATCACAATAGGAGCACTCACAAGTTTATCTTTCAATTTAGCAAAAGCCTCTACACATGCATCATCAAATACGAAAGGCACATCATTAGCAAGCAAGTGACACAAAGGCTGGCTGATTTTCGAAAAGTCTTTAATAAATCTCCCATAAAAGCCAGCATGACCCAGAAAACTTCTAACTCCCTTAACATTCACAGGAGGGGGGAGTTTTTCAATCACATCAATTTTTGCCTTATCAACTTCAATTCCCCGACTAAATATCACATGACCCAACACAACTCCACTCGTCACCATGAAGTGACTTTTCTCCCAACTCAAGGTCAAATTACTTTCAATGCATCTCTCAAGGACACGAGATAAGTTATGGAGACAATCAGAAAATAAAGTGCCAAAAATAGAGAAGTCATCCATAAATACCTGTAAGCAGTCCTCGAGCATGTCGGAGAATATGGAGAACATGCACCGTTGGAAGGTCCCGGGTGCGTTGCAAAGGCCGAACGGCATGCGTCTGAAAGCAAAGGTGCCGAATGGGCATGTGAAAGTCGTCTTGGGCTGATCCTCCGGGGCGATGGCTACTTGATAGTAGCCCGATAGTCCGTCAAGGAAGCAATAGTACTGATGGCCTGAGAGACGGTCCAGGATTTGATCAATGAAGGGCAATGGGAAGTGGTCCTTCTTCGTCACGGCATTGAGTCGCCGGTAGTCTATACACATTCGCCACCCGGTAGTGATACGGGTGGGGACCATCTCCTTTTTCTCGTTCTCGATCACGGTTATCCCTCCTTTCTTCGGCACCACGTGAATGGGACTGACCCACTCACTATCCGCCACCGGGTAGATAAGCCCCTCGGAATAGAGCTTCATTACCTCCTTCTTCACGACCTCCATCATGTTCGGATTGAGTCGTCGTTGGCTATCGCGAAACGGCTTGGCCCCTTCTTCTAAGATTATCCGGTGCATGCATGTGGCCGGACTAATGCCCTTGATATCCCCGAGACTCCACCCAATGGCCTTTTGATTCCTCTTAAGCACGTCAAGAAGCTCTCGTTCCTCGTCTCGGTTTAGCTCGGCAAAGATGATCACCGGCTTTTTCTTCTCATCATCAAGGAAAACGTACTTGAGGTGTCGGGGGAGCTCCTTAAGCTCTAGTGGAGATGGAATTGTTGCACGGGATTCCTCGACTTCATAGAGCTCTACCATTGGCCCTTCGTCATCCTCCAAATCGGGCATCAATCTTTCTTCAAACTCCCGAACCGTCATCTCCTCAACGAACGGGTCCATCACATCGATAAAGGCGCACTCCTCCACAAAGTTCACGGAAGATGCGAAAGTGGCCTCTCTAACAGAAATGGATACCGACTCGCCTAAAACAGTCATGTTCAACGTACCGTTCTTCACATCTATGAGGGTGTTGGTGGTGGCCATGAATGGTCTGC